ACATCATCATTTAAGGGTGTTTGGTTATAAGTTGTTATTGTTCATGGTCAGAAGAAAAACTAAATAAAGGAGATAAAGTCAAAGATCTCTTTCTAAAGAAAAAAGGAGATACAATATAGAAATAATGAGATAAAAAGGTAGATAATTGAGTCTACTTTAATCCAAAAGCACCTATTAATCTCAACATATTTTACATTGGTATGAATTTCAATTTACTGAAATAAGTTTAAAATTATTTTTGTTATACTATATGTATGTTTCTACTCTTCCTTGGGGTATTGTGCCTCTGAAGCTCATTTAAAAATGTAATGTATAATTAAGTAATACAAGTTAGTAGTTAGTCATCTATAATAAAACTTGTAGTCATGTTAGGTATGTTTTCAAGGTTAAACAGTTATATTTAGATAGATAGATGGTCTTCAAACATGCCACAGACCTACAGAATATGGCGTTGAGAGGTTTAATAACTTAAGGCTTTCCATGACAACAAGACACATCTGCTCCTGCCAGTGTCAATTTACTTCAAAAAAGATGATGGGCATTGAAGAACCTCCATATGGAGTTTGCTTTCTTCATGGCAAATGATAGCCATTTGGCCAATAAAACTGTCCTTGCTTTGACTGATGACAGCATGCTGTCCAAACTGGACTGGCAGAATGCAAAAGAAAGTGACTGTCAAATTTTGCCAAGACAGGTAGGACAGTTTAAGATTACCTCTTCTCAAAAATGTCTGTAAGATATACTAGCCCTGTAGGCCAAAGATGGATGCCTCAATATTACAGAGGAACTGTGAGTGACTTTCCAGGAAGCCAGATGTACCTGCTGTTAGAATCTATTACATTCTTCTGGGGTCTTTGATGGAGTTAAAGACTAAATAGTTAAACTTATATTTTTCCTTAGTTATAATAAAAATAAATTAAGTATAAAACTTTAGATTCACAAAGATAAGATAAATAAGAGTATTTTTCTCCAAATTTGCCAAATACAAGGAGACTATATATTGTGACTATAATTCTTACTTGATTACTGTTTTACTGTATTTTACTATGTTAAAGTTAAAACCTTCCTTTTTAATTAGATAAAAGGGGAGAATATTATAAAATAATTCTGTTGTACACTTTAAATATGTGCTGTTCTGATTTGTTTAATAAAGTGCCAACTGGCCAATAGCTAGGCAGGAAGAATTTAGGATGAAGAGTCAGAGTGAAAGAACACTGGGAAGAAGGAGGGCAGAGTCACTCAGAGACACAGAAAAAAGCAAGATTAACATACCATACTGGAAAAGGTACTGAGCCATGTGGTAGTGCATACATAACATGGGTTACGATATAAGAGCTAATTAGTAACAAGCCTAAGCTATCAATTGAGCATTTATAATTAATAATAAGTCTCTGTGTGGTTGGTTATTTGGGAGGTGGCTTGTGGGACAGAAACTTCCACCTGAACTTTGTAAGCCAAGAGAGAACAGAATAACACATTGTATCTCCTGGAAGAAAACAATTTCTGAACAAGACATTGCAAAGCTTTTCAGAAACAGAAGAGAAATAAAAAACCTTTCAAAAAAAAACAAAAACTCAAGAAGGTCATCACCACTAGACAATTACAAAATATGGCTCAGGAAGTCCTACATCCAAAGGCAAAAGATAACTTCTATCATGAAAATATGTAACTCACTAGAAGAGATTCACAGGAGAGAAAAAGAAAAGAATCAAACCTTATCAAAGCAATAGGCCACAAAATCATAATTATCAATAAAAAAGGAAAGAAAAACAGTAACTCTTCAAAACACCAAAAAGAAAAATGAGAAAAATAACAGTAGTAATGGTTTTGACTCAGTTGTGACCTTGAATGTAAATGGACTACATTCATCAGCTAAAAGATATAAAGGATTCAAGAGGAATAATGGAACAGAAAGGGTTAAATTGGGGTGAGGATGGGATGGCCTTTATCCAATAAACCATTGAATAGAGGAAGGAAAATGGGGAGGGATAACTAATATTAAAGGCCTTTTGAAAAGTCGTAAGTAAACCTACCGCTGTAGTAGCTTCTGAAAATATATTCATGTACACATGCACACATAAAAAGAATTTTAATGGAGTTACCCTACAACAAGGGAACAATAACCCAACTAGATAACACGTTAGCAAATAAAAAAAAGTACCTGAAATGGGTTAACTTTTTTTGAGTTGTTATAAAATGGGATCTCAAGGATCCACAAGCATTACAAGCTATTGCTGATTCACTGATCGCCCTTCAGAACTTGACAGCAATACCATACTGCTAAAGACATCACATACTTGAGCCACAGAATATGGAGAAACCAAGACACAAAAAGTAGCTTAATGATGCAACTCAAAAAGTTGGAAAAACAAGAACAAACCAAATTTAAAACCAATCAATGACAAGAAATAATAAAAATACAAAGAGAACAATACAAAGAATCACCAATCTAAGACATGGTTCTTTGAGAAGATAAACAAGATTGACAGAAAAAGGAAAGAGTGGATGCAAATTAACAGAATCAGAAATGAACAATAGGGAAACATTATAACAAATACCAAAGAAATTCAAAAATATTATAAGGGAATACTTTAAAAACCTGTATTTCATCAAGTTGGGAAATCTAAAAGAAATAAGTGACTTTTTTAAATTAAAATTTAAACTAAGAAGTCAATAACCTAAACAAACCCATAACAAATGAGGAGAAAGAAATAGTAATACAGCTTCCCAACTAAGAAAAGTTTAAGCACTGATGGATTCATAGCAAAATAAACAAAAAAGGAAAATTACAGGCCAATATCCATGTTGAATATAAAGAAAAACTTGAAGCAACACTGAGCTCAGGAATGAGATAAAGGATATGCACTATCCCAATTCTTTTTCAACAATGTGTTAGAAGCACTAGCTGGAGCAATAAGTCAAGAGAAGGAAAATAAAGGGTTAGAAATGAGCAAGCACACTCTATTTGAAAATGACTTGATATTATATACATGAAACATCTTAAAAATTTTATCAGAAAATTTCTAGACATGATAAACAATATGGCAGGGTATAGACTCAACTTGTACAAATAATACATAGAAACATATCATGGAGACACTCCCATTTAAATTGCCTCAAAGAAAACAAAATATTTAGAAATAAAACTAACCATGGTGGTGAAGAACCTTTACAATGAAAACTTTAAACCTCTAAGAAACAGAGAAAGGCACAAGCAAATAGAGTAAGGACAAGTTCAATAGAGGCCTGAGTTTCATTTCACCATAAGGCAATACCTAGTTCTAAGGAAAAACCATCCAGGTACCATCCAGGACCAACCATCCAAGAGAAAATACCTAGCATTCCAAAGCCCAGCACACACCCATCCCCTTTTCACCAGGACACCCCTAGACAAATGTCAGCCAATCAGGGGTCCTGAACCTTAGAAATCCCTCACCCCAATCTCTGCTATTATAAAAACCCCACCCCAACTGAGCTTGAGGCTGATTGTGCCAAAGTGTTGGACACATGGAGAGTCCGAGTTTGAACTTGAATAAAGGCTCTTTGCTTTTACATATGGGATTCAATCTCCCATATGGTCTTTTGGTGGTCCCAGTGATCTGGGCATAATAATACTATGTTCATAGGTTAGAATATTGTGAAAATGATTATTTTATCAAAAGTTATTTACAGATTTGATACAATCCCAATCAAAATCCCATCTCATTCTACACAGAAATAGAAGAAAATATCCAAAAACTCATTTAAAACCACAAAAGATCCTGGATGACCAAAACAATCCTAAGCAGAAGAACAATGCTGGAGTGATTACAATTCCAGATCTCAAGATACATTTCATAGCCAATGTGTTAAAAATAAAACAAACAAGCAAGCAAACAAACAAAATAGTGGTACTGGTACAAAAACAGACATGTAGACCAATAAAATAAAATCAAAGATGTAAACATTGTAATGATTTCAGCCACAATAAGGCTGATACTTACGGGTTCTAGGGGCCATGCATGTGTAGACAAACCCTCAGGCAGAAGTGCCTAATGCCCCCACCACGTTAAAGAGCTCCACATGCCCCACGTGCAGTGTGGATTACATCATCCACATATGACTCAGCTAAGCCCTTGCACGCATGCGTGAGCCCTGTCATCTGCGTATGACGTAGCTATGTCAACCCCGTGTGCACATGCACTAGGCAGCTTCTAAAAGCTGGACGCGCCATCTTCCTCTCTCTCTCTCTGCACACTGACTTCCCCAGGCCTGTACACGCCCCCTCTAATAAACTCCTAAGTGGGTTTGCTGTGTGTTCCGTGTTTCCTTCTCACTCGTGCCAGGTAATTTCAAATATGAGCACATGCAACTTCAGCTACTTAATATTTGACAAAGATGCCAAAAAACATACAATGGAGAAAGGAAAGCACCTTCAGCAAATGGCTCTGGGAAAACTGGATGTCCACATGTAGAAGAATGAAATCTTCATCCCATATTCATCACCTTACAAGAAAACTAACTCAAATGAATCAAAGACCTAAAAATGAAGCCTCAGAGTACGAGAAGAAAACATAGGCAATTCCCTAAGTGATATAGGTATAGGAAATTACTTTCTCAATAGAGCTCCATTTGCCCAAGAATTAAGGTCAACAGTTGACAGGTGGCACTTCATCAAAATAAAAAGCTCCATACAGCTAAAGGAACGACATGAAGAGGAAGCCCATAGAATGGGAGAGCATCATTGACAGCTATACATCTGACAAAGGACTAATATCCAGAATATATAAAGAACTAAAAAATCAGACAACCTATTCAGAAAATGGGGCTGAGATATGAACAAAGAGTTCTCAAAAGAAGAAAAAAAAATGAAGGCTGGAGAGATGGCTCAGTGGTTAAGAGACTGTTCTTCCAGAGGATCCATGTTCAAAATTTCAAGTACCCACATGGTGGCTAACAACAGTCTGTAACTACAATTTCAGGGGACCTGACACTGAAACGGATTATTAAAAATGTTGCAGATCCCGGCGGTGGCAGGCAGCAGAAACGCTTCAGGTTCTGAAGCAGTGGTAGCAGACCATGTGGTGGCAGGTGAGACAGAACAGATCGTTACAGACACCATTACTTACACAGTCAAAACACCAATGCACAGCTGGACTGGGACTGAATGAGCAGGTGATCAAACCGGATTCTCTGAATGTGGCTGACACGGGGACTGTCTGAGAAGCCATTGATAATGGCACTGGGACTTGTTTCCTCGGCATGTACGGGCTTTTTGGGATCCTAGTCTGTTTGGATGCTCACCTTCCTAGACTTGGAGGGAGGGGGAAGGAACTTGAACTTCCCACAGGGCAGGAAACCCTGACTGCTCTTAGGACTGGAGAGGGAGGAGGAGAGGGAGTCGGGGGAGTGGGAGGGTATTGGGAGGAAGGGTGGAAGTGGAAATTTTTATCAATTAATAATAAAAAAATGCACATTAAATAAATAAATTTTTTAAAAAGAAGAAAAAATGTCTAAGAAACATTTCAAATAACTTTCATCATTCTGAGTGATTAGGGATTCTGAGAAGGAAAAGGACAGTATCTCATTAAAGCATGGATTGTTTCACCTATCTTTTCAGCATGGCCTAAAGTGAACCCATTTTCCTGCAGTGGTGCCTTAGCCAGTGACTAAACCAGCTCAACTGGAATGTTAAAGTCTCCACCAAGGCCAGCAAGACTTTTCTATTCTAACAAAAGCTTTTCCTTCAAAGTCAGGAATAACAAAAAAGCTGTTAACTGTCACCATATCTATTCTGCAAGACATTCTAGCCAGAACAATCACGTTAGAAAATTAAACAGACTTCTGGGTAAGATGGTTGTTTAGAAGCTTCACCAAAAAACAAACAAACAACAACAACAAAAAAAAACCCGTCAGAAGATGGAAAAAAAACAGTCAAGATAGTAGAAAATAATATTGTTCCTGCAAAAGAAATGTTGACCAATGAACCGACAAAGTCAAGATCTCCACAGGGAGCCGGTGAGAGAATCTCAAATCAGTGTGACTGGCTAAACCAAGCTCCACAAAGGAGCCTGCTGGGAAGTGTCTTTCCTCAAAGACAATGACTTTCAGAACCAAGAAGCAGAAGCAGAATACAGAGCCGCTGAGATGAGGGAGAAGGAACCGCCAACAACGCCTTATATAGCCTTTGATCTTCCACACTCTGGGACCTGAACAGAGAAATGGCTGAATCAAGGGCTCCCACTGGCCCCTCCTCCACAGAGAGAACATTAGGGAATGATCCAACTGATCACCTGAAAGGGGATAAAGGCTGTGAGTGCCAGATATAAATTTAGACAACATGGTAATGGTATAGATACCCAGAATGACTTCGATAAGATGGCTGCGATGGGATATACAAGGAACCGTGACTAAGGAATAAAAGTCCTTTTTATGTAACTTGTTATGCAACAAATTCTGGCAAGAGCCACTTTTGTGCAAATCTGTGTTCTTGGACGCAGGGGTATCTCTTACCTAGAGTGAATAAAGTATGTCAGATACACCTGTGGCTCTGACCGTCTTCCTTCGTTTCCTTGCGCCTCACAACCATCTGTTCCTGGTTCCTATTACCACTCAGGGAAGATGTGCTAAAACTCAGCCTCAGGAGTAGGGAGTCAATTCCAGACATCAAGCCAAATAAGAGCCAGAAGAGAGCCAGAGCTTTAGAAAGATGCAAGCATAGCCAAAACCAAGCAGGAACCAGAGCTAGAACCAACTTCAGAGGCAGAGCCTGATCCTGAGACATGGAGTCCTCAGAAATAAGGAGTACAGGAACAGGACTGCCCATTGCAGAGCAATTCCAGTAGCAAGACAGGTTTTAGGAGCCAGAGAAGGAACAAATGAGATGTCAGATAGAACTCAGCAATAAGTTTTATGTCCTGTGTATGCATCCCTTTCTCCCTATACTCTTTCACTTTTCTCTCGATCTTCTTTTTTTGTCTCTTTCTTTCTTTCTCTTTTTTGGGGGGTGGGGTGGGGTGTATGTGTTATAATACAGGGTTTCTTTTTTAAGAAAGGTGTAACAATCCTGGCTATCTTGGACTCACTTTGTAGACGAGGCAGGCCTCAAACCCACGGAGATCCACCTGCCTTTGCCTCCTGAGTTCTTGGGTCAAAGCCACATGGCACCACCACCTGGCTTCATTTTTCTTTTATCACTGGCAAAGAGCACTGAGTGCCCAGCCCAGGTTTGTATGTCTCTAGAGCTGCTGAGAGGTCTGGTAGTTCTAAGACACCTGACAGCATATCTTCATCTCTTTTCTGTCTACCTTTAGCCAGCCTCCACTCCTCCCCATCATACCTACATACACCCTTCAGTGCCTCTAAAGTTCCATTTTCTATTTATATTCTCCCCTGGCCTGGCTAGTTTTGTGTCAATTTGACACAAGTTAGAGTTGTCTGAAAGGAGGGAACCTCAATTGAAAAAAATACTTCCATAGAATACGGCTGTAAGGCATTTTCTTAATCAGTGATTGATGTGGGAGGACCCAGCACATGGTGAGTGGTACTACCCCTGAGCTGGTGGTCCTGGGTTCTATAAGACAGCAGTCTGAACAAACCATGAAGAACAAGCCAGCAGGCAGCACCTTTCCATGGCCTCTGCACCAGATCCTGTCTCCAGGTTCCTGATCTGTTGGAGTTACTGTCCTGACTTCCTTCAATGACAAACAGTGATGTAGAGTGTAAGCCAAATAAACCCTTTCCTCACCAACTTTGTTTTGGTCGAGGTATTTCATCTACTGCAAATATGTTCCAATGAGGTTTAAGAGATATGTTGATCTTTGTAAAGAATGATAAGTCATTAGGAGTTGGTTTACTACTATGTCTTTTAGCAGAGTAATAGTAGTAGTTTCTTCCCTAGGTCCTTGGACCTATCTACCACAGGTTCATGGGCCCAATATTTGTATCAGGTATGGGTTTCAATCAGTGGAGTGAACCTTTAATCCAAGCAGAAAATGGTTGGCTATTCCCATATTGTTCATGCCATTATTATACCAGTGGATGCACCACTATTGCACAAGTGGTCATGTCTTACCAAGTCAACCATTATTGTAGCCGGATAATATAGATGATTGCTTTTCTACTCCAAGAGCATGCATAGCATCTTCCAGGATGGTGAAACCTAGCCTATAGGTGTGAAACTTCCAGGTGCGTGTTATCTTGATTTCTCTGTGCTCTTGTGACTCAACTAGGTAGTATCTTCAGTAATATGGACTTACTGTCTGGTTGTGGAAGGTAAAAAGCTTTGGCAATCATCTGTAATGTTTGGGAGAATCTATGGAACCTCAATGGCCAACAACTCCAAAAGAAGTAACCAATTCATGGCACTGTATCCTGCTAGTCTGTGGGGTCTAGCAGGGGCATTATTATTCAATTATAGGGTGACTCCATTTAAACTCTTATTACATATGTGTAATATGTAATACATAATACATATATATTTTAGAAACTTACTGCAGTGGTAAGTTTCCATATGACTTTTTCAAAGTATTTAGAATTCTTTATCCCTTTCTCTTATTCTTTTCTCTACCCTGCCCTCCCATTACCCACCCCATTAAGCCCTTCCTGTTCCATTATTTTCCTTTAACCATTTATATCACTGTGTTCTATCTCCCTTCCCTGAAGTCCTCCTTCCATATAGCACCTTAATAATTTATTAATCTCTATGTGCATTGCAAAGGAAACACACATATCTGGAGATACAAAACTAACATTCACAAAGGAAAAAAAATATAGGTCATTTGTTTAGAAATAAAATGATTATTTCAAGATTCATTTACCCACCTGTGAATTTTAGCTTCATTTTTCTTAATAGATGAATAATATTCAATTTTTTAACATATGATAGTGTTGGGAAATATTATTTTCAGGTGTGTGACTTTTGTTTACACTGCATTTGTTTAACTCTGTGAAGCTGTGTTACTGTGCCTGTTTAAAACATCTGATGATCCTAATAAAGAGATAAAGAGCCAATAGCAAGGCAGGAGCAAGGATAGGTGGGGCTAACCGGCAGAGAGTATAAATAGAAGGAGAACTCAGGGAGGAGAGCTAGAGAGGAGCAAGAGAACAAGGAGAGGAGGACATCAGGAACCAACCACCCAGTTACACGGCAAGCCATGGAGAAAGAAGACAAGAAAGGTAAACAAAAATAGAGAAAGATAAAAGCCCAGAGGCAAAAGGTAGTCGGAATAATTTAAGAAAAGCTGGCAATAAACAAGCACACTAAGGCAGGGCATTCATAAGTAATAATAAGCCTCCATGTGATTTATTTGGGAGCTGGGTGGTAGGACCCTCAAAAAGCCAAAAGAGCTTAATATCTCACAACACTACATATTCCTTATCTATTCATGGACATCTAGGTTGTTTCCCTTTCCTGACTCTTGTGATTAGAGACATAATGAGTGTCGATGAGCAAGTTTCCCTACAATAGGATACAGAGTTTTCCTTTTTCCTTTTCTACTGCTGTAGAGACACCATGACCAAGGCAACTTATAAAAGAAAGCCTTTAATTGGGGGCTTGCTTGCACTTCAGAGGGTGAATTCCTGATCATCACAACAGGAAGCATGGTAGCAGGCAGGCAGGCAGGCAGGCAGGGTGCTGAAACAGGAACTGAGACAGTACTTCTGATCCACAAGTTGGGGGCAGAGATAGAAAGCCCTGACTTGGCATGGGGTTTTGAACTTCAAGTGACACACCTCTTCTAGCAAGGTCACATTTCTAATACTTCCCAAAACACTTCAACGAGGGATCAAGCATTTAAATATATTAGCTTCTGTGGGCCAATCCCATTTAAACCACCACCACAGAGTTTTTTGGGTGTATGGGTACAGACAATCATATAGTAGCTCTATTTCTAGCTTTGAGAAGCATCTCCACACTGATATCATAGTGACTGCACCTGTTTGCAGTGAATAAATGTTCCTTTCCTGTGCCATCAGTTCACATATTTTCCCTACTTCCTCCTCCATCAGATTCGGGGTACCAAATCTTATATTTAAATCTTTGATATACTGGAGTTGAGTTTTATGCAGGATGAGAGAGAAAAATCTAGTTTCATTCTTGCACATGTTGTTAACCAGTTTTGCCAGCACCAATGTGTGTTGTTGGTCTCTTTGTCAAAATAAGGTAACTGTAGAAGTATAGAATATTGTTCTTAAGATTTTTTTTACATCTATGTTTATGTATGAGTGCCTGCATGAATGTATGAGCACCATGTGTAGGCCTGTTGTCCTCAGAAGCCAGAAGAGGGCACTAAACCCTCTGTAAAGGAATTATAGACCATTAGGAGCCACCCTACTGATGCTAGGAACCAAACTCAGGACCTCTGTAAGAATAGCAAGTACTTTTGCAGCTGAGTCATCTCTCCGGGTTCCTAGATGTGGTATCACACAACAGTTTTATAAAACATTACAGGTAAAAGAAACTGGATCAGAGAATACACGAGATGTCTCAAAAATATTTAATACTTAAATGTAAATCTTAAAATAAAAGGTTTAATTTACAAAAAAGGGAGACTATGTTAAAATGCATTTGGGAATAAGTCTATAGCACTATATGCACATTATTATAAAAGAAGCTGTCAAATTAATGACTGCTTCTACCTTAAGAAACTAAAAAGGGACAAACTAAACCCAAAGTAAATTTCAAAAAAGATCAAAGTAGAAACTTTGATAGACTAGAGTTAAGTAATAATGAAATGTGTATAACTGACAAACTTCTAACAAGACTGATCAGAAAAAGAAAACGACACAAGTAAGCAATAACAGAAGCTAAAGAAGGAACATCAACAGTGATCTCAAAGGCAAAAACTATACTAAGAAATTTGACAGTAGTGATTTTAGCAATAGTTATTAATTTTAAGGAAACAATACACTTGTTGGTAATAAATGCTTTACTTACTTGAATGAACAATTAGCAAAAATTAAGGATACATTCGTATAGCACCTGTTCTTGTTCCAATAGCCAAGATTTTCTGGACTGGATCAAAGGCCAGTGCTGTGGGCTGATAAGGAAAACCATGCCGAACTGTCTGAAAGAGAGGAGTAGAAATAGCTGTCAGGGAAGAAAAAATTAAAATCGAAAGCAAGACACTATTACATGACCACAAGGATGACTATAATTATCTTTTAAATGAAAAAAATGGGCAAAATGGCCATGGAATAACCTCTGAAACATTATTGGTGACATTACAAAATAAATTATCTTGTAACCACTTTAGAGAATTATCATACAGTCAGGCAGTGGTGGCACACACCTTTAATTCCAAGATTTTGGAGGTAGAGGCATGTGGATATCTGTGAGTTTGGGTCCAGCCTCTCTACAGAGTGTGTTCCAAGACAGCCAGGGTTACACAGAGAAACTTTGTCTTCAAAAAGAAAAAAGACTATCTTATAATTTGTAAACAAATTAAACATATACCGTTTATACCTGTATGAGGCCCTAGCAATTCCACTGCATAAGTACCTCAAAAAATTTAAGGCATATGTTCACAAAATAATTTTTTAATTATGATACTAGTAGTTATAATAATAATAGTAGAAAATCAGAAATATCCCAGATGCCTATCAATAAAAGAATTTTAAAATGTGATATAACCATGAAATGAAATACCATGTAACAGTAAAAAGGTATTACTAATAGATTCGGTAATGTGAATGATTATTAAAAGTGTTATGACTAATGCATTACAGTTTTGTGTCCTTCTTGTTTCTCTCCCATCTAATTTTATTTTCTATCACTGTTCTGCAGTTTAACAAATCAAATAATTCGTGATGATTAAAACTCATCGGTCCTATCGTTCTTTAATAACTTCCTTTTCAGATTTAATTATTTTTATTCTCTTCTGATATTTGTTTTGGTTCTTTTCCTTGATGTATTTTAAGAGTTTTTATGTTGCTGCTAACGTTTAGGAAAAGAATTTTCTTTTCTTCACCGCCCCCTCCATTACACAGGCACATGTTCTTGCTAAATGTCTATCTCCCCAATAAAGCATAATTACTTGCACTGTGCTATTGCTACTCTCTTTTTCTGCCACACAAATTATTTACTTCCTGGGGCTGAAATTGTTTTCTTAACTTGCTTAGTTTTTATCTGCTTGCTATTAATTCAATGTTAAGTTCTTCCCTAAATTGCCCAATTTTCATTTTAGTGATAAATATAAGGTACATATTTTTAGTGAGGTAGTCAGACAATCAAATAGTAGGCAAACAACCTGTAGTGACAAAAACAAACCAACTCGCCATCCTGGGCTCATTAGCAGAAGAAGAATGAGCTGGAGACAAAACAAAAGACCCTGAGAGATAAAATACTACTCTTACTATGGTAATAATACTAGAGAAAACTCATTACATTGTACAACTTATATAATTTTATGTTATCTTAAGCATTGTAAAGGAAAATATTAATGAACATAAGTACAAAATGCTAAATAAGACATTAGTAATCTAATCCATTAATAAAGACAATAATGAAATGTATTTAAAATAGTTTATTCCAGAAATAGAAGTATGATGTCATATATAATTGCATCATCTTTAAGTCTGGAGTAAATAGACTAGATGCATATACTTCCTATATCTTTATACATATCTAACATCAAAATTAACTTACTTAACCATTTTCCCTCCTTAAATTTTGATCCTTAGCCGGGCGATGGTGGCGCACGCCTTTAATCCCAGCACTCGGGAGGCAGAGGCAGGCGAATCCCTGTGAGTTCGAGGCCAGCCTGGTCTACAAGAGCTAGTTCCAGGACAGGCACCAAAAACTACAGAGAAACCCTGTCTCGAAAAACCAAAAAAAAAAAAAAAAAAAATTTTGATCCTTATATGTCTGAGCTTCAAACTGTAAGAACTTCTATCTATTCTCAAAATAATTATATGCATGATACAGAGAAATGAACATAATTTTTATCATATAAGTCTCTTTACAAATGGTATTTCTCCAAAGGACTCTTACGAGCATGCTGTACTTTATGTCACTACAACCTCTGTAAGCTTATTAGTTTGTGATGCTGACTGGTTCTTCAGATTAATTGCATGATCTCATTATAATATTTAAATAGATATATTATTGTTGAAAAAAGTAAAAATAAAAATAAATTTTCTCTATAAAGCTAAAAGATCATTGGCACTATATTTCTTTTGTATAGAAAAGAAAAAGAAATTTTAGTGTGTCTCTGTTGGATTTAAACAAGAGCTTTGAGGGCAGAAGATGGTGAACAACACCCAGCCTTAGTTGGCTAGAATCTGTGGAGGGTAAACTGGGAATAGTTGGAAAACAGTTTTAATAAGAGGCTGGGAATGGCAGGAAATCTCTAGTTTCAGAAAAAAAGTGAAATTAGAAACTTGCGAGGCAATACAGGAGAAAAGTCCAGAATCTGTCCTGGAGAGAGAAGCCATCTCAGAGAGCCAGAGCAACTGCAGATGGCAGCAAAAGCCAGGGAGCATGAGAAATCTGCAGTATGCTCTGAACACAGACATCTTAAAGGGAGAGGAGATAAAGGCCGACGATGTCAACTGCACTTAGCAGAGGGATGAGATACCAAGAAAACCCTCTCCTCTTTGCTCAAGATGGGGGAAGCATCAAAACCATTTTCTAAAGAGTCCGGTTTAGTGGGCAGCTTGGTAACTCTCCCAGAACAGTGCTCCTAGTACATAGAACAAGTATTGTGAGTTTAAAATCCAAAACCTGAACTGCAGAGGGGAAAAGCTTTAGATAAGAACTACACCCTATTCAGTGAAGTAGAATTATGACCTAAGTCGTCTTAGTTTATTTTGTTTTTTTTGACAGGGTCTAACTACATAGCTTGCTGGGTAGGCCAAGCATGTCTTGAACTCACAGAGATCTGCCTGCCTCTGTTCAAATTCTGGGATTAAAGGCAGACACCACCATATCCAGCTACTAGTTTACCTTTGGAGTAGAACACAGACTCCACTTTTGAAGATATCCTTGATCTTGAGAAGCACCGCCCAAAGGCACGACCAGCATTCTTAACGGGACATAAAAAACAGTCCTGCGGTATGACCAGCATTCATAGTCTGACCAGCAAAGACTACCCAGGAGGATGCCTGGCATCTGCAATCCTTAAAAAGAATGTCTAAGCTAGACTAGAACAGCACCTAGGTGAGAAATCACATTCAGACTGTACTGTCAAGCCCAGCTTTTTGCTTCATTTCGGTTCTCTCATTTCATGTTCAGTGTTACTCCTCCTCTTTTCCTTTTGCCTTTTGGTGGGTTCCCCCTAAACAACACAGGCTGTCCTAGAGCCTGGGAACAGGGTCCCTTCATCAGCCTTCCCAAACCTGTTGATGGTTTTAGATTTCCTGATCGTATTTTTTTTAACTCTCTCTTTTCATTCCACCTATACTCCTCCCTTTGTCTCTGCTGTCCCCACTTCTATTTGTTTTATCCACCTCCATATCCCCCTTTCTCATTCTAAAACTAATTGCTAGTCTTACTCTGTACCTTTCTATAGTATTCTATAGTATTTTTGTACACATAATACTATGTTCCTATATTTACTAAAATTATTAAAATTTTGAAACTGGTAAGACAGTTGAGTTTTAATTAATTATTGATGTATTATGATAATGGGCCTATCCTTTGATTGTATTATTTATGCAGGTAGAATTCTGCTCTTGGAGTAATGCCAGGGTTAGAGTCTGTGCACTGAAGATATGGCCTAGGATCTGACAAGTAAGATATGCCACTAGTCCAGTGGGAAAAGGACTATTACAACCTACTGCAACTTGAACATTGCAAACACTTCCACTAAAGAATGTAAGCAATGAAAACAAATCTAACTGGCTATCTGAACACAGGAACACAATCCTAACATAAACAAATAAACAAAAGCAGAAACATGAGCAATCAAAACACTGCACCACTGCAAAAAGTTATAATTCCATAGTAATTTCCTTCAATGAGAGTAAATTTGAAAATTAAAAATAAAAACAAGGCTAGACAGATGACTCAATGGTCAAGATGACCTGGGTTAAATTCCCAGCAACTACATGGCAGCTCAAAACTGTCTTAACTCTAGTACTAGGGGATCCAGTGCCCTCTTCTGGCTTCCATGGCACCAGGCATGTACATGATACACATGAATACATGCAAGCAAAACACTTATACACATAAAATAGTCAACATGTATAAAATAAAAGAATTAAAAATCAAAAGATAAAACTTTAAAAGAATAATATTAAATATGGCTTTAAAAAAAGAGAGAAGGCATAAATAGGCTAGTCAAGGTGGTACATGTCTTTAATTACAGCACTTGGAATGCTAAGGCGGGCAGCTTCTTCATGAGTTCAAAGCCAGTCTGGTCTACATTGTGAGTTCCCTGTTATCCAGAACTACAAGTGAGATACTGTCTCCAAAACAAAAATCAAAAAATTCAAAAGAGGCACATTAATAAACTCCTGAATGGATTAAAATAGAACTCAAGCCAACAACATAATGAAAAAAGGAAGTCGATATAAAAAAATTAGAATTCAATAGAGAGAGAAATATTGAAAAAAACTGGAAATGGAAAGTTCAATTAAGTCAAATGATAAACTCAGTAGAAAGTCTCACCTATACAATGAATCAAGTGGAGAAAAGACTATCATAACCAAGTAGATGAATTAGAATATTCTGACAATTTTTAAAAATATAAGTGGGGCATATGAGATTTATGGAACATCATTTTAAAAGCCAAACTTACGAGTTACGCACATAGATGAAGAAAAATATCATGCTAAAGGAATAGTATAGCAGAAAATTTCCCTAACATAGGGAAAGAGACAGCCACCAGGCTAGAGGATGCATGTAGATTGTTGGACAGGACCAGAAATTAACCTCCCATGTCATATTACAGTTAAAACACTAAGTAAACACAACAAAGAAAGTAAATCGAAAGCTGCAAGAGAAAAACACCAAGTCACATTATCAGCAAGTCTGTTAGAATAAGAGCAGGTTTCTCAATAGAAAGTCTACAGCTAGGAGGGCATGGGATGATCAAGTAAATAACTGCAAACTCAGGTTACACTA